CCATAGCCATTTTAGTTCAGCGTTTTTCGGTGGTGTCTTCTTTGTCATTAATTTAATTAATAAGGTGGTAGTGCCCTCTAACAGCCAGTTTTTATGCTATTCTGAAAAACTTGGATGTTAGAGGGCGCAACTGCTATTGATGGTTAAGACACCCTAAAAAACTTTGAATTAAAAAGGCTATTTAGGGCGATTTTCTTCACTATTTTTATCAGAACCGGACAGATTATTGTGGCCAAATAACTTAGTCATATTTAGGGCCTTTTTCTATTCGAGGGCGCTTTTTTTTTTCCCATCCTGCTCATCCTGCTTTTTCAATGCTCGAGAAGAAAAAATACTCGATACTAAACTAAATTACAATGAATATTTATTTATTCAAATTATTTCCAATATGATACTAAATTACAATGAATATTTATTTATTCAAATTATTTCCAATAATTATTTACTAAATTACAAAGACTATTTGAAATAGAAAGCTTCAATTGCCAAATCACCAGTAGCCACATTCTGAAAGAGTAAGAAATCAGAGCAATTAGCTAGAGTGGAAAGGGAAAAATAACTGAAACATTTATGTCCAATGAACAGGGAAAATAAAGTTATTTTTAACTGAAACATTTACGCAACAATTTATACAACAATTTAAGTCCAGTGGAAAGGGAAAATGTTTAAAGTTATTTTTAACTGAAACATTTACACAAATTTATACAACAAATTTTAAGTCCAGTGAAAAGGGAAAATATTTAAAGTTATTTTTAACTGAAGCATTTATGTAACAATTTATAAGTCCAGTGAAAAGGGAAAATATTTAAAGTTATTTTTAATTGAAACATTTACGCAACAATTTATACAACAATTTCTAAGTCCAGTGGAAAGGGAAAATATTTAAAGTTATTTTTAACTGAAACATTTACACAACAATTTTCTAAGTCCAGTGGAAAGGGAAAATATTTAAAGTTATTTTTAATTGAACCATTTACGCAAATTTATACAACAAATTTTAAGTCCAGTGGAAAGAGAAAATGTTTAAAGTTATTTTTAAGTGAAACATTTACGCAAATTTATACAATTTTGAAGTCCAGTGGAAAGGGAAAATGTTTAAAGTTATTTTTAATTGAAACATTTACGCAAATTTATACAACAATTTTGAAGTCCAGTGGAAAGGGAAAATATTTAAAATTACTTTTAATAACGCAAATTTATACAATTTAAAGTTATTAAAACAAACATTTTAAAGTTATTTAGTATTACATGTAAATCAAATAATTTCAGAAACAAGTATCGAATCTGAAATCAGTGCAATTTGCAATGGACATGCAATTTACAATGGACATGAAATTTATATTAAGAAAATTCACAAAGTTTTTGTAGCACACTCACCATTCACTAGAGGAAGCAAAATTCACCATTCAGCCAAGCAGTTCTGGTCCACTTATTGCAGAGGTGCAATGTCTAAATTTTCTTCAGAATTTCTATAGTAAAAAAATAAATTGCATTAATTAGATTGAGGATGAGAAAATACAAATTCCCCATAAAAATGTTTAATTGTTAATTTAATTATTATAATTGTAGAAAAATATATAAATTTGGTAAAATATTTTAATTTTATGAACTATTAATCATAACCTAACTAAATATTATGCAGAATGAAAATGATAGTATGCATTTTATATATATTAATGCTTGCAGTACACAACAAAGATAGTTCTGGAAAGAACTATTGTTGGTTGAGAATGCAAAGCTGGTGGAACGTTTTCTAAAGTGGGAGGGGGCCCCAACTAGTAAAATGGATGGGAATATGAATCAGGGAGATCTGGGTTCAAATTTAGGGAGTGGGGTCAACTTTTTTTTTCAAAAAACCCAAAAATGGAAGAGGGTAGGGCCAAAAAAGGCAGTCCGAGGATCCTCAAATTTTGATTCCTAGAGGCGGGGAAATGAGCTTTCCAGACTTTTGAGCTGGGTGTATCGTAATGAAAATGAGTTTACCCGCTCCTGAGGTGTATTTTATTGACTTTGTATGTTTGTTTGTGTTTGAATTATCTCAAGAAACGGCTGCACAGACATAATTAAAAATAACAGGGAGTATTAGGTATAACCCAATGAAGAAATGACGGTCCTGAGTAGTGTTTGTTTGTGTTTGAATTATCTCAAGAAACGGCTGCACAGATATAATTAAAAATAACAGGGAGTGTTTGGTATAACCCAATGAAGAAATGACGGTCCTGAGTAGGGTGTGGATGTGAGGGTCCAACATTCTAGACAAGATATTTCAAAAACTAATCAACTGATATGAATGAAAGTTTAGTGGAAGTTTAACCAAGTTACAAGGAAGACATTATTAAGTGTTGACGACAATCGAAATTCATGGTGTGAATTTGAGTAATTTAAAAGGTCCTAAGGTCCCACCTAAATATCTCTAAGGATAATCAATGGATCAACATTTCCCTTTCCACAATAATTTGTCATTTTTCAATGAAAAAAGGGTATGGATATGAGAACCATTCAAATAAAAACGTCCCAGACCAGATATTTTAAAAACTAATAAAATGATCTGAAAGAAACTTTCGTGAAAGTTTAATCAAGTTACAAGGAAAATACATTTGAATTGTTGGTGATGATCCAAAGTCGGATGTGCATGGAGGCCAGGTCCCACACCTAAATATCTCTAGGACCAATTAAAGAATAGATTTACTGTATTACTATAGGCATAAACAATAGTTACAGTATATGATGAATAAATTAGTGCAATTACAGTAAAGCTGCACAGCGTTTTATACTTTACTTTTTTCGGAACTGATTGGAAATTATTTTTAATACATCTATACAATGTGACCAAAAAAAAACCAAACCCCCATATTTATATTAGCATAATATTTCCATTTGAACACTATGGTGAATACATGGTATGTAATTTTTGGCAGGTATAAGAGTGTGACATTCCAGTGTGTTAAAGCCAGAAGATGTAAGGCATTGGCAGGTGTACAACTGATACAATAAAAGGCATTTGAAAAATTGAGTGATTAAATTTTGGTGTGGATGTCAATATATGGACTATTCAAAGCAAAATGTCTCAGATCAGATATCACAAAAACTAATCAACTGATCTGAATGCAACTTTCGTGTTTAAGTGTAATTTTTTTTTAAGTAGATGGTGGTTGGTGGTTTGAAAGTAGGGACATATTTTTAGGGAATTATTTTTGAGAAAAGAATATGCAGTGGGCGGAGATATGCTCTCTACTTAGTGCTTTTGTTATTATTATTATTATTAAAATATATTATCATTATTATTTATACGCTTTAAAATGATAGGTCAGTTACTGAAATCTATTTACTATTGCCAAAGTTATGAGTATAAGTATTACGGTTTCTCTGAACTAAAGCATACAATACACATATAACATATCAGTTTACTCAGTTTAAATTAACATATTTGACAGTATGCCGATTTTAGGATAGTGAGCCTTCAATAGCAAAATTACGCTTGTAATGTCTCTTGCACTGAGTGTAGACATATGTGGCAAAGACAAGCCAAATCAGTCACTCGTCGCAAATCCTGTTTCGGAGATAATGGCCAAAACATGCTCGAATGTAAATGTTTGGGAAATCTATTTTATTGTACTAAACTATTACCTTTATGTATTAATACATACTGTAATGCTATGCTGTTATTTTCCCAATTTTGAATGCTAACAACAATTTTTAATGATTTGGTGATGGTTTCTGCCTAAAAAATGCCTGAAATCTGAATGTTTGAAGGCTGATTTCTCAAATACTGGTTTTGAAACAGCTTTGTATAAAACTCCTGTAACTTATTAATGAAATGTCGGACTTAAATGATTCTTTTACCATTTTATAGTTCTCATTTTACTGTTTAACCACATATTAATAACTAAAAATCGATATATATATATAATATATATATATATATATATTATATATATATGCTGTCGTCATTTTCCCAATAAAGGGTGTAACTTTGAATTTTGAACAATTTGCTCAGTAGTAGTGCTCTAACAAAGCTACAGAATTCCATGATTTTTTGCCACAAAGTCAAATGCCACAAAGTCATCTAGTTATAAAGTTACCTTGAGTAGCATACACATCTTTTGGCTGTCTCTTATACACTTGGGTACTTTATACTGAGGAAAGAACATTCAGTACAGAATAAATTTTGAATTCAGTTTGTTTGGCCTTTGATACCAATTACTACTAATATAAATGGTATCAGTACCTGGTAGGATAGCCTGCTCTGGCGCTAATTACCAGCAACAACGCTTAAAGCATGTGGACCCAATGATCAGGGAAAATAATTTCCCTTTATAATATAACCTCAAGGATAAGGTGTAAAGGCCCGTACCAGTATCAGATTTTTACAGATCACTCATTACGAGTTGAAAGCCTAAATTAGGATTGCCCAAATAAATTCAAATTGTGTTCATCTAAGCAGATAATTTATTACTAAATAGCCTAAATCTATTTACAATAAATACCATTTAAATTGTTAAATTTTGAATATTTTCTAAATTATTTATTCTTAAGTTCGTCCATGAATTAAGAGAAAATTATTATTTTTGTAAAATTCATTGGGCTTGATTATTTATTATATTTATTAAATTATTATATTTATGAGGATTTAAAAACTTTGCTGTTGCTATTTAGAAAATGAATAAATTATTATTATAATTAATATTTATTTTATTCCCCTAAATGTATATTTTAATTATCCTGTTTTAACTAGAGCATATAACACATATTTATTATTTTATTATATTTTCCAAGTTAAACTGTGAGTAATAAAAAAAAAATCATTCATTTTGATGATAATGATATTACAATTACAGAGACAGACTAGTTTTTTTGTTAGCTAATAGTTCCTTGAGCACTTGCAGTGGATATGCACGCTATACAAATCATTTATTATTATCTTCGCCATGACATACAGTATGTTTTCAGTCATGTAAAGCTGGTGTGTGTGTGTGTATGTGTGTAACATCTTCGTGTTTTGCATTGCTTTTTTTTGTGTGCGACAAAGAAAAGACTGTACAGACATAATTGAAAATAACATGGAGTGAGGTATAACTCAATGAAGAAATGATTAAATTTTGGTGATTGTCCGGAGTAGGGTGTGGATGTGAGGACCAATTAAAGGATTTTAGAGCAAACGTTCTAGACAAGATATTTTAAAAACTAATCAACTGAATATGAATGAAAGTTTAACCAAGTTACAAGGAAGATATTATTATGTGTTGTAAAGGTATACAGCGTTTTATATAGTCATTTTCACAATAAAGGGTGTAACTTTGAATTTTGAACAATTTGCTCAGTAGTGCTCTAATAAAGCTACAGATGATTTTTTGCCACATAAGTCAATTGCCACATAAGTCATCTAGTTATGAGTTACCTTGAGTAGCATACACATCTTTAGGAGTAATTATATATCATTTTCCCTATTACAGAAAGCACTTAGGGTGGGGGAGGGGGGACATTGTTGACCATCACCACCGTCCAGGAGTATTATATTTCTTTTCATTTAATTTCTTTTTTTTAAAGATACCGGAAAGATAAAATTGGATTGTACAGTATTTTGTTAAATTTGTGATAGATGGAAACATTCCTTATTTGTTAATGTATTAAAATTATTTTAGTAATATGGTCAATTTATATTATTCTGTTATACTGTACTGAAGTGGTACATTCTACTTACCTAAAATACTAAATATTATACTAAATATCTGCTCCTTCCACTACACTGTACTAACAAAATTTGAATTTAATGAATTCTCACATGTGTTGATTTGTAGTGTGGAAAGTCCTTGTCTAATATTTTTTAGGTATAGTGTTAATAGTGTAAAATGTTTCTATACGATATTTTAATGGACATTTTAGGAAATAATGATGTTAAGAAACCTAAAAGAATGGTGCTACGATATAGGCCTATTCAAGAACTATGCACAAGTATGGATGGAAAATCATCACAAACTTTGGTCTTTAATCAAATTAGTATATGATAATACTAATAATTATAAATATATAAATCATATATAAATGATATGATAAATATAAATCATAACAAATCTTTACATAGCACCAATTCAAAATTTATCTAAAGCACTACAAAGTGAGGAAATACGGAAAGTTTAACATTCCTGTAATATTAATAAATGAGTTGTTAGATTTTCAAAAACAAATTAGGCAAACTATATATTACAACATTTGAATTTGAATTTTATATAATTCAACTTGTAAATAAAAGTAAATGTGAACCATACTGTAGCACTGTATTGCTTACATTAATAAGATTAACAATTCAAGCTCATAATCAATTTCGTATTAAAGCCCAATTGAGTTTTAAACTAGGAAACCCTTTCCAAAAAGGTACACTTTCTTCATCAAAACGCTTCTACGAATGGAATGACCTGTTTGAAGCACAAACTCCTGTAGACTAAATCGAGTACCATTACGATTTTATACTGGAAATCTACTCGTATTGCATATTGGGCATTTATAAATGTGCAATCCTGTATATAGAAATCTCATTGATAGATGTTTAACTGTTGTAATATTGACTACTAAAAATAATAAAAGATTTTATTATTGTATAATACAAGTTCAGGGATGTAGTTATGGGGAGGAGAGAGGGGGTGCAGTCACCCACCCTTGAAGTTTTCCATCCAGTCTAAACCTAATTTCATGGCTCTCCACCATTATTAACCCACACTTCCATCCTTTAAATAAACTTTTATTATTTAGAGTAGGGGGATGGGCTAAAAACCAGTTGGAGGGCCAAAGTGAATTATCGATCTAACACAGAGGGCAAAAACCTAGATGTTCCAAGTATGCTTCCAAAAACCTTCATGCACTGCTTTTATGCCATTTGATCCTCAGTTTTAATATCATTTTTACAGGTGATCGGGCCTTAAAAAATGAGGGGTTTTCTATCACTTAGCCCACATGTGATTTAGAGTTTTCCAATGCTATCACCTTATCACCACCCACCCTTTTCTTTGAAATGTTAAAATGTCTATCATCCACCCTCAGTTTTATTCAGTGACAACCTTGTATTGTTGGTTTAGTTCGGAAATAATTGTTAAGTTTGGTATTAGACAGTATTAAAGTATATTAACTATTAAATAGAACTGTATGTTATGTTTGAAGTCTCCAAATAACGTGCCATTATTAACTTGAAACCTCCAAATCCGTTTCATGAGCTTCAACTTTGATACAACAAAATCAATTTAATTGAAATGCAATTATTGAATTTTACTCTTAAAGCCCCATTCCCGGCAAAATTTCACTAAAAACTGACTTTTTTTATAGAAAATATGCATTTGCATTACTCCAATTATTATAAATCATGGAAAAATATTGGCATGAATAAAAAAAAAGAGAAATACAGACTATTTCTCATAAAATATCACCATTTTCTCGACGAATTCATCGTTACTAGGCAAATTCAGAGGTTGTAGATCGCATCCACTGGAATACTCTCGCTTTTACGTATACTTTATACAGTCAATAAAGTGCGTCCTCTCTAATTAGATTAGTTTTTGTACTTCGCATCTCGCACACTGCGGGCGGTCGTTCGATTAGGCTGCGATGTGTTTGTTTAAGTGTCAAAATCTCAGTCCGAATCAGTTTTTTAACAAATTTGAAATAATTCCTAGGAAATATTATATTTCACAAGTGTCAATACTAGCAACGGAAAATATCATGTCAGCCGTTTTTATGTGTGAAAACAGAACTAAGTCGAGGTAAGGCTAGGCCTAGCCTAGCAGCGTTGGATAGACTAATGTTTTCGGCGCCTACGATATTTCTTCTCACGACCTATCGCAAAATCAAACATGAAAAATTCATCCGCATTTATTTTTTGTGTGGAACACAAAAAAAATCAAATTTCAGTCTTTTTTCATTCTTAGGAATGTCTAAATTCAGTTAAACTAGCAATTCCGTATTATATTTATAAATCTTTATAACATTATACAAAAATTAGATTTTTCTTAACAACTGAAATTTTTCCGGGAATGGGGCTTTAATATATTTCCATAGAATGACAACCCAGTATGGGATGTTGCTATCCCTAAATGTTAACTACTAAACATAAGACAGGATGCATTGGTACAATAAGGATACTTTGTTGATGTTGTAACCAATGTACAACAATTTTCAAACGTTATAGTATATTATCAAATAAATTACATCTAGACTTTTTAATATTAATACAGTTGGGTTTTAAAAAAAATTTATCTGAATAATCTTATATCATATGTTAACATGTCTGAATCCTCCGAAAACCTATGTTATTGTTAACTGAAGACTCCGAAACATGTTATCCTAAAAATTACATCTTTGGTATAACGAATGCAATTTCTTTAGAATTTGCATTGGTAAGTAACCCTAACTAAAGGTTATCAGTACACTATGTTTTACTTTACATCTCCTTTTGCAATAGGTAATGAACCTAAATAAATGTTATTTTAGTGTAATTTTTCATGTTATATGGGGAATCATTAAAATATTGAAAGACCAATTCAGTTTGACAAAGAAAAAATGTTTAGTCTATGAACTACATTATAATGACAAATGAAAAATAGTAATTAAAATGTTTTTGCTTTGCACATGATTTCAGTTGAGCAATGCAAATCAAATGTAGTTTTTGCTCAAAGTGATCATATGTGGCAAAGACAAGCCAAACCAGTCACTCATCGCAAAAAACGATTTTGAGTTATTAATACAGTGTTAGAGAGCAAAATAATAGCTATAAAATGGTAAAAAAATCATTCAAATCGGACATTTCCTTATGAAGTTACAAGCGTTTAACCACACAGCTGTTTAAAGAACTATATATGAGAAATCAGCCTTCAAAGTTTATGATTTCAGGCATTTCTCATGCAGAAACTATCATCAAATCCTTAAGAAATGTTGTTTTAACATTGCACATTGGGAAAATAACAGCATAGAATGATGTGTAGGTATATAAAGGTTAGTTTAGTGCAATAAAATAGATTTTTTAAAATTTGACAATCCAGCATGATTTGGCCATTTTCTCTGAAACACGATTTGCGACGAGTGACTGGTTTGGCTTGTCTTTGCCACATATAGTTTAGCATAGCATTAGTCAAATTTTTAATGTAGATTAAGCTCCAATATGACATTTTAAAAATAATTTGGACATTTCTACATACGATTTTTGTAGAAATGTATATGGAAACCTATTTTGAAATTTTGACCTCTGTTGGAAAAAGTACCACCCCTTACTATGAAAATGACCATATACTAACTTCACATTTTCAGAACTGATTGGGAATATTTTTACTGCATCTTTACATTTAAACATTTGACGCTAAAAACCAAATCCTCATACTGTATTTCTATTTGCATAATATTTTCTTTTCAACACCAATACATGGCAGGTATTTTTTTGGTCAGCTATAAGAGTAAAACGTGCCAGTGTGTTAAGCCATAAGATGTAAAGGAATAGGCAGGTGTACAACTGACACAATGAAAAGCGTTCGAAAAATGCTTAAATTTTGATGTCGATATAGGACCATTCAAAGCAAAATGTCCCAGATCAGATATCTCAAAGCTAATCAACTGATCTGAATGAAAATTCTGTGTAATAGTGTAATTTTTTTTAAGTAGATGGTGGTTGGAAATTAGAAACATATTTTTGAGGATTTATTTTATAGAAAGAGATTGGTGGTAGGCAGAGATGCTCTCTACTGAGCGCTGTTATTATTATTATTATCATTATTGCCTTTTCCCAGCAGTAACTGGAAAAGCCATTGTTTTTGTTCTGATTTTTTCCCTATCTTTTTGCACTGGGTTTTCCCCCCCTGGACTTTGGTCACTTCTTATGCTTAGAACGTTTCCATGATTTGTCGAAGCATAGACCATACATCAAGGATGTGCCTCCTAATATTTAGTGTCAATTTAAAGTGGGTGTGGATGTGAGGACCAATTAATGTGATTTAAGGGCAAACAGTCTACACCAGATATTTCAAAGACCGGTCAATTGATCTTTGAATGAAACTTTCGGGAAAGTAACCAAGTTACAAGGAAGAAATTATGTGTTGGGAGACGATCTAGTTTAGGGTGTAAATTTGAGGGTCATTTAAATTTGTCAGGTCCCAGACCTACAGTAAATATCAATGGGTATGATTGAAACTTTGTATAACAGTTTGTCAAGGTCTAGTAAAGAAATAATTAAATGTTTGTGACAATCCAGAGTAGGGTATGGATATGTGGACCATTCAAATGAAAACATCCCAGACCAGATATTTCACACTAACGGATCTACTGTATTAAATGAAACTTTCAGGAAAGTTAAAGATATTATTATGTGTTGAGGACAATCCAGGTTAGGGTGTAAATTTAAGGGTTATTTAAATGCTTACATCCCAGATATAATTGGATGAAAATGAAACTTTGCAAAATAGTTTTTCATGGTCAAATAAAGAAATGATCAAATTTTAGTGACGAGCCGCAGTAGGGTGTGGATATGAGGACGATTCAAAGGAAAACATCCTAGACCAGATATTTCGAGAACGGATCAACTGATCTAAACGAAACATATGGGAAAGTTTAACAAATTTACATGGAAGAAATTATTATGTGTTGGGCATGATCCAGTTTAGGGTGTAAATGTGAGGATCATTTAAATTTCTGATGTCCCAAACATTAATAGCTCTCAAAAGTTGTTAATGGGTCTATATGTTCACTTTCTGTAATAGTTTGTCAAGGTCAATACTTATTAGAAAACCACTTTATAGTTTTGTTCATTGTTTTGTCATATTATTAATGACATAAATGAAATAATATTATTATTTTAATCTCTCCAATTGTATTACCCTGTCAATTATATTAATTTCAATTCAAAAATTATTTCATGAAAATTTTATTTTAATTTATTTTAAAATAATTTAATTAGGGTTTTTGTGTTGTAATATTGAAATTGTAATGTTTATTCTTGGTGATGAATCAAGTCGAATGTTTTTACAACGGACAAGAAATTCATAAGAACAAGTTTTTTCACTCACCATTCAGCAGAATTAACAAGCACAAAACAAGAAAGCAACATTATAGTCATTGAGCTGAGCAGGATGAGTCCACTGGTTTACTGAAATCTTTGCAATGTTCAGCCTTCTACAAAATTTTTACTGAAATAAAATACATACATTCATTAAAAATCCAGAATTAGGCAACATTTATATTTACAAACATTAAATGTAAATTTTAATTCTAGAATAATACTTGTCCTTAGCAAATAAAAACATTATTTTAATATTATTATTATCATCATTATTTAATTCCAACATTAGGTCAAATAATAAAATTTTAATGTTAATCATGACGTCATAGCATACAATAAATCCACAGCACAGAACTATAAAATCCAAGGCTCAAAGCTCTTAAACTTCACTATAAAACACTATAGGGGTGATTCCATGTCAAATCAACCAGTTTCAGAACAAATCCCCAGGTGACCCCCTCAGATTTTAATAAAATTTGGTCAGAATGATGATATGTTGCTCATATGAACACATGCAAAATTTGAAAGTCATACTCCATGTCGTTTTTGAGATATGGCCGTTTGAAATTTGCTGGACTTAGTCATTTTACGCACTCGCGAATCGCGAAAAGTGACATTTTGAATAATTTCGGATTTCAGAATGCCATATTTCGGCCTACGGACAAGACAAAGAGCTCAAAGTTGGTATTCTGACTTACTTTTTGCCAAAAAAAAAAAGATTTAAAGTATCATCTTTAGATTTCAAGTTATGATTGCCTAAAGTAGGGTCCAGAATGAGCGATTAAGTTTTTTTGCATACTGAAATCTTTGCAATGTTCAGCCTTCTACAAAATTTTTACTGAAATAAAATACATATATTTATTAAAAAACAAGAATTAGGAAAAGAAAAGCAGCATTTATATTTACAAACAATAAATGTAAATTTTAATTCTAGAATAATACTTGTCCTTAGCAAATAAAAACATTATTTTAATATTATTACTATCATCATTATTTAATTCCAACATTAGGTCAAATAATGAAATTTTAATGTTAATCATGATGTCATAGCATACAATAAATCCACAGCACAGAACTATAAAATCCAAGGCTCAAAGCTCTTAAACTTCACTATAGAACACTATAGACAACTCTACTATAAAAAAATTTCCCCGTAATTGGAGGTGCTTCTATTTCGTAAGATCGAAAAAGAATAAGGAAGTTGCATGGTTGTGGGGCCGCTTGTGCTTGGCGCCAGGAGTCGACTATTCTATTATTTTTCAAGGGGTGTTTCTCGTGAGAAAGAATAGGCAATTAGTTGGTTTATCCAGGTAAGTATTCACGAAGTAGACAATGAAATTTTAATGTTAATCATTAATGTAATTATTTTAACAACAAGAATCATTATTAAATGTATCTTATTTTAATATATATTTAGGCGCGATCGCCAAATTATTCCAGAAGACAAAACTGTGTTCAGACGTGCTTTCTATTGTTCTACCAAAACGTGTCTAAAAACACTGTTTGAATAGTGTATCATTTGGACGCCAATATTCCGTTTTGGCCTTTTCTCCTCCCCTTTAACTATGACCGATTGGATGCACCAATTATTATTAATTATTATTATTATAGACAACTCTCTAAAATGAATCATAATACGCCTGACTGCGCTCCGCTATACTCAATACGGATTTGTTTACCTGCTAGTGAACTCTCTTTGTATGCCACCTGGGTGTGCAAGAACTGACAGAAGTACGTAAACTCAGGGAGGTCCCTGGTCAATGCTAAAAAAATAGTCGGTTGGGTACTGGGTTGTCGTTCAGTAGGCCTAGTACTGTGCACAGTTGAGACTATCGTAATATTCAGTAATTTTATGAATTGATGAGCAAATATAACGTTAAAAAATCCGATTTTTAAGTTATTTCTGATGTAGTCGCATGCCACCATCAGTTTTAAGAAGCGCACGAGGCCTAGGTATCGCTTGAAACGATCTCAAACCGCCAAAGAGATACAGTACAGTCATGAAATATTGCACTTTTACCTGCGCGCAGGCTTCGTAGATACATCGTAGCCTGATACAAACAATCTAACCTGCGCGCAGGCTTCGTAGCCTGATATAAACAATCTAAGCAAGGCTACGCGAAGCGAACCTACGAAGCAAAAGCATGTTGTTTATTTTTATGTGCAGAAAGACTGCTGCAGCTTACTGGAATAAACAATGTATTGTTTGACAATTTGTGAATGGCAAACACGAGTTTAGACCGTTAATTTAAAGTATGGAACTGTTTTTCAATAAGAAAAACGTACACTTGACTTCATGGGAGTCTCCTCTTCCACTCGCTGTCCATGACAGTAACTTGTTTGTACTGCTGTATTATTTTTTTAAAATTAATTAGCCTAGGCCTATCTTATTTTTCATTTACAATTATTTTACCTCATTTAAAATGTCAAAAAACGATGTCCTCAATGGCAATACACACATGTGAAAAGATTGTTCATCAAATGATATTTTGT